TAAAACCAAGGCAAGATCCGCTTCAGAGCAGAATTGCCAGACACTATTTCTGCAAGATACATTGGAGGTGTGAATATCAATCTTCACTTTTACTCAATACACTTTTATTTAAATAATATTATTTAAGAATTCACTTTTGTTTAATATAATTTGTATGGACTATAAGGAGCCTGTATTGTGTTGGTGATTTAAAAAAAAAAAAAAAAAGGAAGTAAGAAAGCAAAACTAGCCAGGGGCTGGTGGCTCACACCTGTAATCCTAGCTACTTAGTGGGTTGAGATCTGAGGATTGCGGTTCAAAGCCAGCCCGGGCAGGAAAGTCTGTGAAACTCTTATCTGTGAAACCACTCAGAAAACTAGAAGTGATGCTGTGGCTCAAGTGGTAGAGCGCTAGCTTTGAGCTGAAGAGCTGAGGGACAGCACCCAGGCCCAGAGTTCAGGCCTTGTGATGGACAAAAACAAAACAAACAAACAAAAAAGCTAGCCAACTATCAAAGTGGAATCCAATCCCATCATGAGCAAACACTTGTCCGCCACCTACTGACGCAGAAGTGAGATATGCCAGGAAGCTAAGGTGTGGTTTTATGAGTCTTCCCAACGTTCACTCAGTTTTGCTGACTCAACTTAAAGCTCATGACCTGGCTGACATAAAGAACAAATGCAAGTAAATGCTTTCAAATGGTAGGGAGATGGAAAGCCCAAGGTAGACATTTAACATGCCACACACAGAGCTGCAAATGCATTTCATCAGCAGTGCTCATTTGCATGTTTCTAGGGAAATAACTGTCTCTGTGCATCTGTTGTCTTTATAAACAGAGAACATGAGGAATAATAATAATATAACAATAATAATGATAACAACTACTGTTATTAAATGCTTTCTGCTGTTTGAAATACTGTACATCACATATATTAATCCTTAAAATGAAGAATTGGATGAGGAACCAGGTACGGTGGCACATGCCTATATTTTTGGTACTCAAGAAGTTGAGGCAGGAGGATCACAGGTTGGATGCCTGCCTGGGCTACACAGCAAGATCCTGTGTCAAAGAACAAAACACAAATTTAAAAAGTAAATGAGGCAGTACAAGTAAACTTCTACTTAGCTAGTTTGGGCAAGAATGGTATGTCATTCACGGCTCTTGATTGCAGACAACAGTCTATTCTAGCTGTTTTGAACCAGCTAGTAGTTTCTTTAAACACATATGTGGTTCCTTGGGTCTCTAGTTTCTTTTCAGACTAAGAAAAATTGACTTACTTTTTCTTTCATTAAAAAATATATATACTTAGCCAGGCGCCAGTGGCTCATGCCTGTAATCCTAGCTATTCAGGAGGCTGAGATCTGAGGATCACGGTTCAAAGCCAGCCTGGGCAGGAAAGTCCATGAGATTCTTATCTCCAATAAACCACTAGAAAACTTGAAGTGGTGCTGCAGCTCAAGTGGTAGAGCACTAGCGTTGAGCTGAAGAGCTGAGGGACAACACCCAAGCCCAGAGTTTAAGCCATGACAGACCAAATATATATATATATATATATATATATATATATATATATATATATACGTATATATGTATATACATATATATGTATATATACATATATATCCATACACACATTTAAAAATATAAACTTAAGGGGTTTCAATTCAACATGTCCATTGTAAGTACAATGCATCTTGATCAATATCACCCCTTTCATCATTCTCCATTTCTCCCAACCCTACCCATCCCCTCAATTTATCTCATTTAATTTTCACATATGTACATTGAATATTATGATGGCATTTGCCCACCACTTCTCTCTCTATTGTCTCCCCCTTCCCTTTGACTTCCCCCAACACATGGTCCAGCTTCCTAGTATTCATGTTGTTAAACTGTAAAGCTACTTGTTCAAAAGAGTTGCGCCATTGGAATCCTCCTCTGCATATAACTATAGTTTAGTTAACATGAAAAAATGGACTCTTACTGAGCTTTGAAAGTCACTGTAGAATTGGGTCAGTCTGGGAGCTGATGCCTCATCCACAGTCATGAAGTTGCTGAATGGGAAAGATACATTCTCCAGCTGGTGCTACAGCTCTCTGCTTCAGGGTCATGCCACACCTGCCATGACCAAGAAGCAACTCAATCATGAGGCTGCACCATGGCTAGTTCCGGAGTTTGACACTTCTGCTACATCCCTGCTAGCAAAAGAGCTCCCCAGAACTCTCCTCTTAGTTCTACAAAGAAAGGAAGGTCTGAGATGAGTCTGCAGGCTGTACAGGATAGAAGAAACAGTCGCCCAAAATACTGGAGATGATCTAGAGGCTGTGAAGTGGGTGTGGATTGAGAGGGGATGAAAATAGGTGGAGAACGGGAGTGGGGAACTCATCTACCTCAGTTCCTGTACACAGCCTCATGGACATCTAACTGTGGATTCAACTCCCAAATCAAGATAACTGAATAACAATGATCAAATAAAATGATCAAAAATAACAATGATCAAATGTGGAAGCCTAGTCACAAGGAATTCCAGTAAAGTTGAACACTACAACTTTCCAGCAACTTATATAATTGCCTTCAAGACAAGAACCACGACATTTACGCCAGATCCCTCAGATCTCCTGGCACAGTGTATGTGTGGTAAGGATTCAGTAATGAACAATAAATGAATGTATGAATTTTATTAGTGAAGTGCCCCCTTCCTTTTTTTTTTTTTTTTAGAATATATTGGATACAGTACTCTGTATCCAAATGATTAGAAATCAGTTGTTCAAGTCTCCTACTGGTTTTTGTTTATTTGTTTGTCAGCCATGGGGCCTGAACTCAGAGCCAGGTTGCTGTCCCTGAGCTCTTTTTTGCTCAATGTTAGTGCTCTACCACTTTGAGCCACAGTGCGACTTCTGATTTTCTAGTGACTATTGGAGATAAGAGTCTCACAGACTTTCCTGCCTGGCCTGGCTTTGAACTGCAACCCTCAGATCTCAGCACCCTGAGTCGCTAGGATTACAAGCAAGAGCCACCAGCGCCCAGCTCCTACTGTTTTTAAGTAGAGAAACGTTCCTTCATCACCACCATCCATCAAATTTCCTCCCCTATTTAGTGAGCCTCTACTGGCTGCCAAAGATGATAAATTTGTGTCTACCAAAATTCAATGTTCGTACCTAATCTTCCAGGGAAGGTCACAAGGGTGGAGCCCTCATGGAAGGATTTAATGTCCTTTATTCTTTCTTTTTAAATATAGATGTACACATATATTAAGTATATATTAAGTAGTTGTACAAAGGAGTTGTTATTCAACAAAGCAGTTCATGACCACAGTGCATCTTGATCAATGTCACCCCTTTCAACATTCTCACTCATCCCTCCCAACCTACTCCTCTCCTCACTTTTAATTTTTTAGGATATACATTGATTTTTTTTACTACATTCTCCCTTCTTTTTTTCCCCCTTCATTTGTCTAACCACTTCACCTTGACCCTACCCCAGCCTTTTCTTTTTTTTGGGTCGTGGGGCCTGAACTCTGGGTGTAGACGCTGTCCCTCAGCTCTTCATCTCAAGGCTAGTGCTCCACTACTTGGGCGACAGCACCACTTCTGGCTTTGTCTGCTTGTGTGGTGCTGAGGAATCGAACCCAGGGCCTCATGCATGCAAGGCAAGCGCTCTACCACTGAGCCACTTTCCAGCCCTACTCCATCCTTTTTAATTACCTGTTTTCCTGGTGTTTATTTTGTCAAACTATAATTTAGCCTTTCTAAGGAATTATAATGCTTGAGTTCACCCCTGAATCTACTATATTTTAGTTAATACATTGTGTACACTTGCATATCACCCGAAATGTTTACTTATATATTCACATATTTATAAACTAACTCTGGCTTCCACATATAAGAGAAAACATGCAACTTTTGTCTCTCTGGGCCTGACTTACTTCACTTAACATAATTTTTTCCAGGTCCTTCCATTTCTTTGCAAATAATACAGTATCATTCTCCCTAATGGATAAGTAAAATTCCACATATATATATGCAATATATATGTGTATATGTTATATATGTGTGTGTGTGCAATGCAGTATATATATGTGTGTGAATATATATGTATATATTGCATTTTCTTGATCTACTTTCCTTTGAGGGGCATCTGGGCTGATTTCAAACCTTGGCTATGATCAACAGTGCTGCAGTGAACATGGTTGAGCTAGTAGTGTACTAGTGCCCTTAGAGTGAGGTGAAGAGACCAGCATTCTTTTCCTTTATACCACATGAGGTAGAACAAGACGGTGCTGGCTATAAACAGAAAGTAAGCATTCACCAGACATGGAACCTGCATGGTATTTCAGCTTCTAGAGTGGTGGGAAATTATTGTATACAAGCTTCCTAGTTTGGGTTTTTTTTTTTTTTTTTTGACAATTGTTGTAACAGCCCAAATGGACTAAGTTACTAGCTAATGTTGTATAAAAGTGTATATGTGTGTGTATATATATGTATATGTAAAATATATATATACTTTATATATAGGTATAAATATACATAATTATTTATATTATTTTACCTATTTGGCCAACCTCTAACATTTTTTTTAAATGAGAGAAAGAGAGAGAGAATTTTTGAAGATGGAGTAAGTTCATGTTCTCTTTGGAACACCATAATAGGCAAGTCTTACACTAGTGCAATCATTTGCTCTAAGTAACAATTCATCAAGCCAGAGAGAATGGAACAAATTATGGATGTGGAAGTATCCAGGGGTCTCTATAGTCTACTTTTAATCCATTCAATTTCCTGCTACAGTAGAATTTCTTCCATTTGTGTCGATCCTTTGGGGTCAGCACACAGCAAAGTTCCCTTAGTTTCTGGAAACTTCCCACTTTAAAACTCCCAACCAAGCAGGTTGTCTCCTGCTGGGTGGTTAATGAAACTGGTAGGCATGCAGCTTCCTCCTGGTTGCCATGTCAACGACCAGGCTGCTGGGCCTTCTGGAAACAGAAAAGAACAGCAAGTGCGGGCCCATGCATTCCACCCTGGCTTGCAGATTAAAGCAGCTGTCAAGCCAGGGTGAAGGATCAGTGGCCAGGCAGAGTCTGTGGAGAAGAGACGGAAGGCTCCGCCGTGAAACTCTGAGATGTAAGTCATTTCTCTACTTTTCTTTGCTGTTTTGTTTTTTTTAGGCCAGTCTAGTTTTATAGAAAATTTTTAATAGCTTCAGAATTCCTGCTAGATGACAGGAAAGTTCTGAGGTGGTTTGAAGAGCCACCATCAGGGCTGTCTCCTTGTAGCTTTAGCACTCCCCGAACGTAGAGTACATGGATGGAGATCATAAAAGACTTTTCTAGACTTTCAAGCGTGTGAGTTAACCTTTTCACTGAGATTCTGCCTTTAAAAGGCAATATTTTGAGTGCATTAAGCAAAGAATGAAATAGTCTTCTCATTTAGCCACTCAATAGAGAAACTCACTCAAAGCAAATAGAATAGTTATCTTCTCGGGACCTGAAAATCTTGTTTCTATTGAAAACATCTGGTTAAAGTCTTCTGTTAGTCTTCATTACTAATTAACCATTAAGCAAAAGATATCTAACAGATTTCTTTTTCTTACTGTGACTGCAAACAAAGAAAACTAGGCACTGGTAAAGCATCAGCTTTGTTGGTTCTCTGTTTATATCTTTTAATAGTATATATTTGCTGCCATTTAGATACCAAGTTTTATAGTGTTTACTTATTAGAAAACATAGATAAGAAAAAACAATAACCTTAGATGATAGCTAACATTTGGATTAGAGAGTTAACTTAAAAAATGGTGCTTGTATTCAAAAGTGGAAAAAATATGACAAATAATGATAATAAAGATAAGAAAGAAGGAGTGTTTTAATTCAAGTCTAACAGTCTGTCCACAGTCCTGCCTGCAGGTTTTATTGTTTATTAAACATGTCTTTGTGTATATTTTAGCAAAAATTATTAAACAATTTTTGTTGGTATGTTTGTGGGAAAGACATGTTTCAAAAGCATTGTGCCTAATATTTATGAAAAAGCAAAAACTACCAAAAAACAAAAACCAGACCTTATTTGTCCAAAAACTTGCTTGAAAAAATTTTTAATGGAGAGGATGATCCTTGAGATGTTTGTACTTTTTCAGACTGAATAATGCAATATGTTTGGAAGAAAAACCAGATTTCTTCTTATTTTTTTCTGACACAAATTGGGCATTTTCTTTAAATGATGGTTCCAACAAAATATTTATAGAAATGAATGCTTTTCAACAGCTAACTTGGATTTCCCAACTTCCTTTCTACACTCGGCTTTCATTGTTTGAAAATGGTATTCAGGGGCTGGGAAGGTGGCTCAGTGGTAGAGCGTTTGCCTTGCATGCCTGAGGCCCTGAGTTCGATTCCTCAGCACCACATAAAGAAAAAAGCCGGAAGTGGGCTACCACCACTACTCGAGAGCTGAGGGACAGCGCCCAGGCCCAGAGTTCAGGCCCCACGACCGGACCCAAAAAAAAAGGAAAAAGAAAATGGTATTCAATCTTTTAGAATTTAGTGTCCAGTGGCTCTGGTCTGAGGCAGGAAGTCTGTGGATTCCAGTGAAGACAACAGTTAGATCACATGGCATGGATTTGAACCCCAGGTGATCTACTCCATTGCCCTTATACTGATTCACTCATTGGTGATGTCACTCTTGCAAAGGTCTGTGTCATGGAAAGCTATGGCAGCTACATGTTTTAGCTAGCATTTCCCAGTAGTTCTCACCCTTCTGTTATTATTAGCAGAAGCAATACTCCATTCATATTGATGAACCTAAACTTACTTATAAACCTAATTCAAAAGTGTTTCTTTTATAAAGAGTGCTTCTGAAATATTTATGTATAACAGAACCTGCTTAACTCCTCTGTCCCTCATTAGCATAAGTTTTCCACAGACATTTTCAGTTAAAGGCCAGAGTCTAGCAGTGAACTACACAGCAAGGAGTATTATCTGAGTCTGTATGTGATCCTGGGCTGGGAAACTGCGCTGTAATTTCCACTGTGACTCTTCAGTGTGTACTTGCCCGTCTCAGTGTGAGCTCTGGGACAAGCTTTTGGAACCTGGGAAAAGTTATTCATCTTCTTTGGGTCTCCATTTTCTAAGATGAAAATTAGACCATAATATCTACCTTTAGTATTATTACAAGTATTAAGTATTATAAAACATGTAAAAAATTTACAACAGTACCTGGCACAAAAGGAGCACTCATTACATCTTTTTATTAATAAATAAGGCCAGAAGCAGCTGTAATCACACCAGCTGTTCTGAAATCTGAGGTGGGAAGATCAGCCCTGGAGCTGAAGATCCATCTGAACAACTGAGACTCATTCTTAAAAGATAAATACATACCCACATGCATGCATATATATTTTTTTCTTATTTCAGTCATTTTTAACATACTTGTAAATCTCAGTTTTAAAAAAATGTTAAGTACCTTATATTTTCTTGACCATTGCTTTTTATATTTAAGCTTAGGAACACAATGTGGAAGGACAGTAAAATATTTGGCGAATGTCTATTAGACATACAGAAAGAACTGCCAAGAACAATGCTACCTATAGGAGCCTGAAGTTTGGGGAAGAAGCTAGAAGCTACAGCCAGACTTGAGCTAATAAGCACCATGGCTGGAGCATCACGCGAGCCTGGGGGGAGTGGCTACACACAGAGAAGGCCAGACCTTGAGTAGGGGCATGCACGCATGGGAAATGAGATGCCGGCCAAAGAAACAGATAGAGCAGCCATGGAAGATGCAAGAAAACCCAGGAGGATGGGTGTCACAGAGGGGCAGAGAGCTCTTTACTAAGAAAGAAAACTCTGTCAAATGATGGTGAGAAGTCAGGGATATGAGATGGAGAAATTGATCATACTATCAAAACACACCACAAGTCTTAGTAAGAAGCTCTTTTTAATAAACTTAGTCTAGCATAGTGTAAGGAAAAATGAATACAGAGAGTTTCCATCTCAGTAAACATCCTGTTAGTATAATACACATATCAAAATTATTAAGCCAACATTGGTGAATTATTATAAACTAAGGTCCAAATGCATTCATATTTTACTTAATGTCCTTAGGTAAGGTACTATATAGCTTTTAGTCTTCATTTGCAGACATTTACAAACTTTTCAAAATCTTTTTTTTAAGGGAACTTCCATTTATTTATTTATTTATTCATTTATTTATTTTTTGGGTCCAGTCATGGGGCCTGAATGCTGTCCCTCAGCTCTTCAGCTCAAGGCTAGCGCTCTACCACTTGAGCCACAGTGCCACTTCTGGCTTTTTTCTTTTTGCTTATGTGGTGCTGAGGAATCGAACTCAGGGCCTCATGCATGCAGGGCAAGCGCTCTACCACTGAGCCACCTTCCCAGCCCACTTTTCAAAATCTTTTAAGATGCCAGGCACCTGTGGCTTCTGCTTGTAATCCTAGCTACTCTGGAGGCTGAGATCTAAGGATCACAATTTAAAGCCAGCCTGAACAGGAAAGTCTATTAAGACTCTTATCTCCAACTAATCACCATAAAACAAACAAACAACTGGAAGTGGATCTGTGGCTCAAGTGTCACTGAGCAAAAGAAGCTCAGGGGCAGCACACAGGCTGTTCAAATCCCAGGACCAGTATATTAAAAAAATAAAAAACAAATCTAGAAAGCAACAACAATTAAAAGGCCCTTGGTTCTATTATTTGTATCTTAAACCGCACAAGGAAAACGTTCCTTTTACTTTTCCAAAATGTGATGATTAGAACTTTAACTTGAACACAGATGAAAGGAAAAGGCCCAGTGCTTAAACATCTTGAGGTAATCATAGCTGAAGGTACTTTATGGGAATGTAATCATGTGCAATTGTAAGCAGAAGATCTGAATCCTCTTTTATTGTTCTGGAAGCAGGTAATTAAAACGTTAAAGGCTTACCAGACTTGTTTCTCATCTCCTAGCAAAGGGATTAGTGTCTTGCTCATTCTAGTTATCCTTGGCAACCTCACCTGGGATACTGGCCCAGTGGTTTGAGCAAACTTCCAAGTTAGCCCCAAGGCTGGACTCACAAACAGCAGGTTGAGACTTTCAACTGAAAGCACGGAGGGCAAGGGCTTTGTTGGCATATTGGGGGTGAAAGAAAAGCTTCAAAAGCACTATGCATAATATTTATGAAAAAACTCAGAAGTGTCACGTTTACAAGTGTCTCAGAGACCTAAACAGTTGGTGTCGTGTATTCTTGGGTTCAGTATCTGAGGCAATAAACCTCAGAAAATACTCAGAAAAAAGAACTGCTGCCTGTACTGACATGTATAGACTTTCTTGTCATTATTCCCTAAACCAGCGGTGGGGAACATCTGGCCCCTAGGCCACATAAGTCACCTTGAAATCATTCGGTACACGATGGGACAGACACAGATGCTACTTTTATACTTCTCAGCAGCTCCTGCTCGAAGCCTGTTTTGATACCAGATGGCATTATAAAAACCCAAGTAGCCCCTGGCAGAAGAAAAATCCCCAGTCCCTGCCCTGAGCAACACAGTGTGATAACTCTTTATATAGCAGTTATATTGTATTGGAGATAAGTAGTATAAAGAAAATCTCAAGTATACAGGAGGGTGTTGTCCGTGATAACAAGGTGGACTAGGGGGCCTCCTAGAGCAAACTGTCTGTGCATAATGAGGAACAACTGCATACTTACTAATTCTGTTCCTTGGAGCCCTGGAGGATGTTTGACAGATGGGAGGACAGTGCTCAAGGGCTGACTTGGGGCTCAGGACACCCACCTAAGCAACTTATCTCACCTTGTGTTCCTATTAAATGCCCAGGAAAGACCCAATGACCACCTTAAACTCAAACTCAGCTTCCTGGAGAAGTCACAGGAAGTATATGTGTGGGTGGCTCGAAGGACTTGTGCAATATGTCATTCAATGGCTTTTGGACTATTCACTGCCTGGACACAGGGCAGTAAACTCGAATGGACACCTTCTCCCTCAGACATAAAAGTTCATGGATAAGTCACATGATAAAACTCCCTCAAAGAACATGAACTTTGTTTGCTGATTTGATGGATGAATTGACTGATTTGAGTGATGATGCTTTGGCTGCTCTTGAATTCATAGGCTCAAGTAATCC